AATAGATTTTTAAATCTGAATAACGTGCTTTTTCAATTCCTTAGAGTAAGTTAACATGTGATAACTGTTATTGAAAATCTTGACAGGACTCTTAATCATTACAGCATTCATACAGTTTTATGAATGACATTAAAAGAAGGCAATATTCTTCCCGTTCTTTTAAGCTCTCTCCTTAATCTTTCTAATGTGATTAATGTGGTATCTATCCCCGGGTTTTTATTCCAGCAGGGTGGGATTAAGGGCAAATGGAGAGTGTAGAGAGATAAAGAAACAATTAGGCAAAGAAAGTCCCTCTTTTCATGGGAATATTCCTTGTAAGGGCCAAGAAGCTAACAAGTACTATACATCCCGACTGGGGATGAGAAATAAGAGTTTGTCCCTAAATTGACTTCAGAGTAGAGATGCCAAAGCAAATAAATCACTATATGTGAGATACTTTGAAAGGCAAATGGGCTTCAGAGTTATGTGTACAGGTGAAATTTCATAATCGCAAGTATTCATTACTGTCAGATACGATAAGGCACATGTGCATCAGGGCATCTGGACATCCCCTCCCAGCACAGACTCCGACTACCAGTCTACCTAACACAACTAGTGTGGTGGACCCCCCCAGCAAATGTTACTGACACCAGAGTTCAAACACATGATGTTTTACCTAAGTAGAATTGTATTCGTTTGAATAAGAAATAAAAGTCCCCAAAATTCTTAGATTTCCTCAATCCATACATAATTGTCACTGACAAATTTTGGATTAGTAGGCCAAGTGGAATACCTACTTGCTCCACTCACTCAAGTCATTACAAGAATGAAATACAGAATGATCTGCTATTTCCTAGGAACCCGGGCCCCAGCCACACTCATCCCCAAAGATCCTGGTTTACTCTGTATGTCACTGAGGCAAAACTTAACAATTTCAAGCCACTTATAAAAATCTTGAGAGAAGAATGGCAATTTTAGAGGTTACATATTCACCTAATGGCTCCATTTTATTTTATTTATCCCTTTACAGGAATCCTTTGTAACTGCAGTAAAAAGACTTCGCTCACCTCTCTGATGGAGGGATAGATAACATTTAGGGATAGGTAAGAAAAAAAATACCTATTTGTTTTCCTAAAATTCCACTGGACATAAATTGCTACTCATAAATCACCAAGGGCCAACCTATAATGAGAAGTTCACTGACTACTCACCAAGTCACCTAAGTGGATTTACCACATACCCAGATTCTGTTATGGGAATGGCTATCTCAAGTTCTAAGGTAATGGGGTAGTAACCGTTCTCAAATGAACTGAGGGCCCTACGGTATAAGGCAACAAGAATAAAGAGGAATAGAAGAGTAAAGCACTGAGAGCTGCAGCTGGGGTGGATGCATCTGTCCTAACCTGGAATCCATCCACTGGGCCTCCGCCGCAGAGTGACCTGCACAGTGTGAGTACTGTTGGTTTCCTGAGTCGGGCAGACACTGTGGCTTCCCTACAGGAGACACCAGACCAGATTTACTCCAAGCCCCTAGGGAAGGAGATCCTGAGGAGGCCCCTGTTCTCCAGGATAACTGAGAAGGCAGAACACAGCAAGCACTGAAGTAATCCAATACCACTAAGATTGCTAAATAGTAAGTTGGTTGAGACCAAAGAAAGGTGAGATGGGCCACCTGAGAGCCCCTCAACAGTCTGGGATGGGAGCAACAGCAAATGTCTGCTGGCAGCACAAGCGAGCCTACCCAGAGGCTTCAACTGACTTTGGGCTGAACAGACCCCAGGCTGCTCCACCACTGCCCTCTACCCATTTCTCTAGTAGCAACCATCTCTGCCATCCTCTGCCTCCAGAATCAGCCAAGGCTGTTTGGGGTAGGGAGAAGCTTAGCTCCTTGCTGAGCATTAACTCACAGAAATCCAGAATGTTTCCAGCAGGTGGAGGAAGCACCTGGCCTCTTGACCTACCTCTCTCTGGGCTCCTACTCCCAGCACAAGAATGTGACATGGATGCTGTGGGGTGTGCATCTGCTCAAGAAGCTACTCCAGGGCTTTGGCACCAGCACCCGCAAGCAGTCTAGAGGAGTGGGAAAACCCCTGGACATGATGAAGCCAATGCAGTCCTGCAGAGGTGACCCACCCAGGGCCCCTTTGGAGCTGCAGGCTCCGAGTGCTCCCTATGGGTCCCCATTTCTAGGCTTTTGTAGAAAGCAATGTCCTGGGTGAGCAGGGGAAGCTCTTCAAGAGGAGGGCGACTCCTGACCCACCTGCACAGCCTGGGTCAGGGGAGGGCTCTAGGTGTGGGTTGGTCCTAATCGGGGTTCAGCTGTGAGTCTCTAGCAGAAAGGCTCCCCTTCAAGCACTACTAGTCCACCCCCAAGCCATGGGCCAACTGGAAACAATAAAACTGCAGGCAAAAAAAAAATATAAAACACCCAAAACCCAAAAATAAGTGGGGGGCTGCATTTAAGAAGAAAGACCAGCAATGAAATGCAAGCATGCATCATTTCACAACATTGCATCTTCCACAGACCAAGTATGAGATACATACAGTAAAGGTGCGCAGCGGGCTGGACCAGCAGCAACTGGGTAATAACACACGCAATGTCACACATGACAACACCCACCTGTGCCTTTCTCAGAAAGAGCCCCAGCATTTGCAACTATTGACTATGGAGCCACTTCAGCTTTGAAGAGGGTCACTATCTCTGATTGCTTCGTGAACTGCTGTAAAAAGCTAAGGCATCCATGCTTACCATGAATTGACACTATTCCAAGTATTAAACCATATGGCAAGTGGCTAATTTGCAGGACAGCCCTCTGAGGCAGGAATTATCATCATTTTCATTTTATCAATGAAGAAATGAAAGGCGAAAGAAATAGCTTGCCCAGAGTATTCAGCAAATAAATAACTGGTCTGGTGCAGTAGTCATACATCCGCACTCTGCCAGCCCCGCCTCCTTGTGTGGACCTTCCCTGAAAGCTCTGAGGAGCCTCCCTGAACATCCACAGACCTGTGAGGAGGACAGCAAGCACCCACACTGTCCCTAGGAGGACAGTGTGTCCTCCCCTGGCTCCTCAGAGACCCTCAGGTATCTCGGGAATCTCCACTAAGCGCTCTGCTTGCTATTTATTCTCTTTGGAAAGATAGCATGGTTATAAATATTACCAGGACTACACACGATGAGCAAACTTCAAGCAAACCCTCCCAGGATGATAACCTGGAAAGAAGAAAGGTCTGCCTGCCTAGAATGTTCTTTGCACCACACCCAGGGGAACTTCAGGGTCATGAGGAGCATGTAATGTTCCTGATAGAAACCCAGGAAATTTCAGAGTGACTCGGTTAAGAAAATTTCAGTTTCATGATTTGTAATCAAGCATTAAACAATATGGCAATTTTTTCCCTCAAATTTGGTTCTTTGTTTGGTTGGTTGATTTTGGATTTTAAAGTTGAAATGAATGATAGAAACAGATATGCAAATGATAGCTAAAACCCACTAAATTAAAGAATTTCATTCTGTTTTTCTTTCAAGTTTCCCAGTCCTAAAGGACAGAAATTACTTCTCCCCTCTGAGAATCTTGACAGTTATTGAAATAACTAAAATACTTGGTATATCTTAGTAACACGCTATTTTTAAAAGCACTTAATTTAGAAAACTCCAATCATGATAATTTCATGGGAATTCTCAATACACATTAGAACTTTTAAAATACTCTTCTAGAATTTGTGAGCTCAAATAATCTTAATTAGAAAATACCTGCACTGATGCATATTTATCAGGTGTTTTTAACACCTGCCCTTGATACAAAATTATTTTGAAGGTTGTTTCCTGAGTTATAATTTCTATGGTCAATAATAGCAGTGATGATGCAATATGAGACAGAAGGCAGAAGTGTCCATTCTAGTCTCTACCGACCTTCCACTTTCTGGGCCTTGAGAATGTAGTTTAATTTCTCTTAGTATGTTTTTTTCACATTCACAGAGAAATCACAAGTTCTACCTCAAAGTTCTGTTTCACTGATCCAGTGAAATAAGGCACATGGTTTTGCTAAGTTGGAAGGCAACATAATGCAATATAACATGAAACTAGAGAGGAATTAGGGGTGGCCTTCTGGCTCAGAGAGTAAAAAGCTGCAGTCCAATGCAAAAGACACCAACTTGGCCTATTTGCTGACCTCCTCAACTCATGACCCTGGAGGAGTGTGGTGGTCTCTGTTCTCTTTTGAGAAACAGGAATGATAAATAACTAATCCGTAAGACTGATGAGGGATTAGCATTACCAGCCATAAGGCCACTAGCGGGACAGCACACAGTCGGTGCTCTATACATGGTGCCCACTTCTCATTCAAGAATCCACTGAATGAAGCCAAGAACTTTGTGTGTTTCAACACTCTCTCCACAGCTGAGCAGTGTTCCACTTAGGACATGCATTAGGGGAAGTCCCAAATATGCTTCTACAGGGCCAACGCCCTGGCCTAGCCCACTTTAGACGCCAGTGGATTAAGGTTGGCTTGCTGTGTGCGCCTTTCCTGCCTGGAGCACTGCTTATAAAATTCTCTAACAGAACCTCAGGTCTAAAAATTAAAATCACTACTACCCAAAATGATAGCTCCAAGTACAGACTTTTTTCTAACCTGCTTTCACTAGCTGGACTGACCTCACTTTTTGCTACTTACTTAGGACAGGGGTGGGGCCCCAGGACAGGGGTGGGGCCCCAGGACTAGGGTGAGGAAAAGGCTGAAGTGAATCTGCTGTTATTGAGGCTGCTGCCTGTGACCCAAGTAAGCCCCCTGAGAACCACTGCCCAGCTCTGCACATGCAAGTCAGACCCTCAGGACGTGTCCTCCCAGCAGGAGAGGGGTACATCCTCCCAGCCCTCCTCGCCCCTCAAGCCCAGTGTGGCAGGCATCGGTCACCAAGCAGAGAGTGTTAGGAGGAAGCCTGGGAAGGGCCCATGCAGTTGGGTTAGTCTTAACTCCACCATGCGGCTTTGCATTCCTGTTTGGCAAACCAGACTTGATGCTTACAATGATCCCAGCCCAATATGGAGTGTCTCTGACTAGCAGGGAGGAGCTGATGCTCGCCATGAGAAAGCCCATCACGGTCACAGCGATGCCCAAGGCCAGCTGCAGCAGGGCGAGCAGCAGCGGGAACCGGCAGCCGCAGCACTTCTGGGCCTCCTCCTCCCCGCACTCCTTGGGGGCCCCTTTGCCCTTCTTCGGTCCCATGTCGTCGAGCCTGGTGGCGTCCGTGGCAAGCCCCCCCTGCCGCTGCTGGCCACGGCGCTGCTTGTCCTTGCCCATGGCCGCTGCGGGGTGGGTGGGTGCGTGCGCTGCGAGCTGGGCAGGGAGCGCGCGGCCGGCACGGGGCGGGCTGAGCCTGCCCTGGTATTCGAATTACGGAGGCTGAACAAATATGGAAAACATTTGGAGCCGACTCGCCCGAGCCTCCAAAGGCCACAAGGAGCCCGCTGCTTAGGGGGAGTCGAGGGGGGTCGCTAACTGCCAACACGCCAGGACTCATAGCGAGCCTGTAGGCAGAAGCCAGCTGTCTCGCCACTGGACCCCCTGCCCTCACCCCCCACCCCCCCTGCAGAACCGGCCTGGGTCCCTCCGAAATCCTTTGCACTTTGAGAGTGAGAGGTAGAGGAGAGGGAGGGAGCGCCTGGGTGTTCTGTTTTCGCACTCAGAACCCCAGGATTCTTTTGGTTTTGTTTTTGTTTTCTGAGAGGTGCAATGCAAGGTGATGAATGTTTAAATCATTTGAGTTTAATTAATAGACAATTTAATCCAAAATAGTCATTGCCGCGCCCCAAGCTGTGAAGTCTTTTCCAGAAGTTAAATTGTTCTTATTTTCCAAGCAAGGCTTAGGCTCCTCTCTTTCTTTTTAAAGTTCTGCAACCCAGCTGACAAATAAGGCATTTTCCCCATTGAGGTATTTGCATTTGAAATAACTGTTTATAGAGATGCTGGGCTAATTGTGAACTCTCTTTGCATGGTGTATGTGTTATTAAAAGAGCTTTTAGGCCCTCCCTGGTGGCGCAGCGGGTTAAAGTGCAGCACCAAGAAGCTAAAGCCACTTTAGCATGAGTTAGATTCCCGCCTGCCCCGGAGGTGACCACATGGCGTGGCAGACCCCTCCTGACCCGCCCGCTGCTCCCCTCAGCAGTGCACTTCGCTGATCTGCCTGTTCTGCTCCCCACTCTGTCTCTGGTGAATCCTCTCACCCCCAACCTCTCGCCTGTACACCAGCTCAGTATGCATAATTAATCTTAAAAAAAAAAAAAAGAGCTTTTCATCTTTCATGTGGGGGTCCCCAACCAGCCCTGACAAATCTCCATAACAGTGCCTGGCAGGATTGATTACTATATACCTGGGACATGAACAGGTAAACTCATGAATCCACAATGTGAGATAGTTTAAAAGCACCTACTGTGTGCCAGATCATAAGGATGATCAGGAATAGATTAGTGCTTGCCTAAAGTCACGGAGCAAATCAATAAAGCTGATTATTCGTATGCCCAAATACCTCCAACTTGGTAGCACTTACAGCAAAGTTCAGTGAAACCACTAAGAAATGAAACCATCATTTTTGGAGTATTTATATCTACTTTGGATGATGTGGTCATTTTCACATTCAGAATACTATTAAAAAATACATGATGTAGCCTATAAATGTAGATCATTTATAGGCCAAGCCTACTCCTCATTGAAAGCAAGTCTAACACCCTGCCTGATTTCCTCAGAATTATACACCCGTTGTCATTCACTCCCCTTGTAAACTGCCAGTCTCTGCAAACTTACTTGAAGGTCTGAAATTGATTACTGACTTAATGAACTTCAGTGCTTTCCTTTTACCTCCCTTCTGGACAAAAGTAGCAGCTTCCAATGTAGAATCTAAGCTGCACATCCCAAGTGGCAGCTGGAAGCAGCAGTAGCCTCCTCTCCCTCAAGGAGAGCAGTGTGGCTGGTGTCAGGTCAGCTGTGAGGCCGCAGCACCATTAGGATTCCAGTGAGACAGAGGGATAGCGCTATGTGTCACCAGCCCACTGGGCCTGACTGAAAACAAGCCAGATGACAACCAGAACAATTTTTGCGATTTATTTCCAACTTTCGTGCCCCCCCAAATTGAAAAGGTGTGTGTGTGTGTTTTAACATTGTTTAGCTATTAAAAAATAAATGAATTCCTGCCACTTGCAACAATATGGATGGACCCAGAGGGGATGATCCTCAGTGAAATAACTCACAAGGAAAAAAGACAAACGCTGGATACGGATAATTTCATGCATGTGTGGGACAAAAAGAAGCAAAACAAAGGAACAAACAAACCCAAACCCAAACAAACTCAAGGAACCTGACTGAAGAACAGAGGCCCCCAAAGAAGAAGGGTGGAAGATGAGAGCAATGTGTGGAGAGGGTGCAGGAGACGGTGGGGGAGGGTTATGGGTGCCTTGGCAGTGGGTGTGGTGTCATAACACACCTGTGAAGGATATAACCCTATACCCAAGAATTATAAACCCAACTTACCTCAATAAATCTAAGAAAGAAAGAGAAAAAAAGAATGTAAGAAGGAGAAAAAGGAAAGGAAGAAAAGGATTTTTTTTTTATGCACACTTAGGAAGCATGTCATTTTTAGGAAACTAACTACACAGAATTATTTCTTGTTGCCAATCATGTAGCTACCAATTACGGGGTATTTCTACTGTAAAAAGCACACAGTAGGTGCTTTACATACTTCACTGTTTTGTTTTACAACCACCTAAGAATTAGTTTCGACTTGAAAAATTCTGAATAAAAACAATGAATCTCAGTGTTACTAAGTAACCAGACTATAAAACCACTTGCCTAGTTAGGGATGTGAGTGAGGGGACCCAACTATGAACTTTTATGGATTATCTTTTTATTACTTATTTTCTACAGGTAAACAAGTAGGTGAACTGCTTAAATGGGGATTTTAAATAATGTGATCATTGGTGGAGTTTTTTGAGATGGCATTGGCTTACAATGCTGTGTAATTTAGGAGGTACAGAATCACACCTCTCAGATGTATGCTACCACACCTACCACTAAAACATCCACAGCCCTTCAGCTACATGGATAGCAATGTTTAACTACTGCAAACTTAGCTGTTAGCCTCAAACCTAAGACTATCTGTGTACTTTACTAAACTACCTCAACTCACTCCCATAATTTATGAGTCGATGGGACCATTCTTTTATTTTTTTTTTAAAGATTTATTTATTATGCATACAGAGCTGGGGTACAGGCCATAGGCTCGGGGCGGTGAGAGGCTTCACCAGAGACAGAGTGGGGAGCAGAACAGGCAGATCGACGAAGTACACTGCTGAGGGGAGCAGCGGGCGGGTCAGGAGGGGTCTGCCACGCCATGTGGTCACCTCCGGGGCAGGCGGGAATCGAACTCATGCGGAAGCTTGGCTTTAGCTTCTCAGTGCAGTGCTTTAACCCGCTGCGCCACCAGGGAGGGCCCGGGACCATTCTTTTTATTACTGATTTATAACAAGATCCAGGTCTGTCTGCTGACCATACTGGGCTGTCTGATAGCAAGGAAGAGTATATTCATTTAAAGCATTTAAAGTTTTATTCATTTAAAGTATATTCATTTAAAGTTTTGCACTGGGTGTAAAATAGAATATCTAGTTAAGCAAAATAACAGGATATTCCTGTGGATATGTCATCTAAGTTTCCCAGCTATTGTGGCTCACAGTTTGTCAAACAATCATTCTATAAACACTTAGGATACAGGCTGACTTTTGATGCCAACTTCAGTCTTCAGGGGCAGTTACACCTACTGGTTCTCAGATGCTTGGTTGCATGTGGTTTGAGAGAGCCTGGTCTTTGGCAATACCAGGAGATGAGAGTGTGGGAAAGGCATTTATTTTCATTTAATGGGGGAAGTAGCAAGACAGAAGGTGTAAGAAAAGTGTCATGACATTAGTGATTAAAATGGGCTGAAGAGTCAGTGAGGACCAACCAGGGAAACTCTTTACTAATATTAGCATGTTCTCCCACTGACAAAAATCAGCATTTCCACCTTGTCACATCTTAAGAAAGGAACAGTATTATATATATGTATATAGGTTAAGCAATGGCCTCTTCAGATATTTATATTTTTATATTACTGGGAGGAAAGGCAAAGTGTATTCAGATACTCTGCTACATTTCTATAACTCACAACTGACAGAGATTATAAATTATAAATTGCAGACTGAGTAGTCAATAAAAGGCTCAAGATTATTTTGCCTCTCTTCAAGAAAATAATTAAGCTTAGTATCCCTACCTTTGCTATATCTAAACATCAACATTATTTGAAGTTATTTAAGGTTCAGAAAACCAGTACTGAAAAAAATAACTGTTTTTGAAGCTAGTGTCATTAACAAAATGTCCTGGGGAAATTCAACTAGAAATAATATCTAAACCAGCATACTTCACACATCTTAGATTCACCAAGAACAAAAGAGATTCCACAGAAAACTTATTACAATTCCAAGATCTGTCACAAGCTGCTTTACTGTATAATTAATCAAAAAATGTTTAATGATTTTTGCTTTAAGGAAGTGTTCAATGAAGACTTCACTTACGATATGTAGCACCTTGAGCCCCTCTGGCTCACTGGCCGCCACATATACGTTGGATCTAGGGGCGTTGCTGATCTATGGTGTGTGCCCCATGAGTGTGCAGAGGTGTGTGCATCACAAATAAACCCCCAGCCTTTATCTGAAAACCTTAAACTAGATATCAAGAGCTGATGACTGTAGTGCCAGTTATTCCTCTTAGTAATACAGTTTCAAATCTGTAGACATTCTACTTCCAAAGCCTATCCCACAGCACATTTTATTGCTGAATTTCCTAAGTTAAAGTTTTAATGAAACTACACCATTTTCTTTAAAAGGTCTCTAAAAACTCAAAAGCTTAACTGTTATAAATCACCACAATAATAACATGTCTAGAAGAGATACAGCTTTTCAGCCCTTATACAGTACTCTTCGATCTAAGTCTAACCAACATCCTGTGAAGCTGGAAATTCCTCACAGTGGCTGTGATTTGTTCAATGCTACATTTTTTTTTTCTTCTTTTTTCAAGCCCAGTGACCTTTCAATTTACATTTAGCTGAATGACTTGGATTTATTTTTGCCTTTTCTGACATATTTTTTAAAATGCACAAAATTAATATATGCATCATAATATGCTGGATGAGATGAGGAGAGGAGAGAGGAAAGAGAGGGCGCACCAAGAACCCACGGGCCCTTCCTGGTGGCTCAATGCGTTAAAGCACCGCACTACGA